AATCAAAATAAAATACACTGCAAAAATTTCTCTCAGGATTTTGATGTAGTTGTAGTAATTCGATCTGGTGCATATGATATACAATCTCATCGTAATCAGTCACACAATAATTTTCTTAGAAGATCTGCAAAGCAATGGATTCCACAATTTTTGTCTAGGTTTCTATATACCTCCCTCATAATTCCATTGTTTAAGTATTGTGAAGTTGAGTGGTCAAACTGTACAATGGACTCCTCGATATAATGATCATGAGAGCGCATCCAAGATCCCACTAACCCGATTTATGACAGGCCTTCCAATGGAAAGACCTACACTCAAAGTGGACTCAGAAACCCCAATACTTACACGATCCCAAAAAACACTGCCTCCTTTGAAGAAACCGGTGTTATTGTAAAAGAGTGGTAACCGAACTTTTTAGTACTCAGGGTCGAAACAATACAAAATATATTAAAGTCAAACAGAGACTAGCTCCATTACTCAAATATTTTAAATCAACTTTTGTATAACTGTTTTACGCTATCCGGAGACATTACCGTGTATAGAATTACTATATATGTATATACATATATAAATGATCTCTCTTTTTGTCTGTCCCCCCTTTTCATTCTCTCACTTCCATTTTCCATCTCTTCTTCTCCCTTTTTCTACCCATCTCCCATTTTCGTTTCTGTTGTACCCTACTTGTACACTCTCCTACGACATCCACTCTAGCGAAGTCATATCTCCTGTAATAACCTCGTAGTCAATTGTCCTCCCCTCTCTCTCTATCTCTCCCACTCCCTCTTTACTCTCCCTCAATATGCATTATAATATTTATTACTTCATTTTCCTCTCAACGGCAGTAATCAATACTTGGACAATTGAATAATGTATCAATTGATGTTTTAATCATTCATATGTTAAGCTACCCTTTGCAATATTGAATTCATACTATTTCTTATTATTTTATTTTATTTTGTAATATTTTGTAATATTGTTATTTATGTGTTCAATTTGTATTTATTAAGTCTGTAAATATTTTAAAACATTGTTTATATTGTGAAGGGCACTCAGTGATAGAAGTATGTTTACTGAAGAGGCAACCAAAATAAATTAATAACAGTTCCAATAAAAAACAATAATACAAGCATTTGGACTGCCCAACCCTAAATAAAAACTGCATACACTGGCATTAAGTTTGGTCGAAGGATTGGGTCGAAGGACTTTTATCAAAGTTTTGCTGTGGCTTCTTCCGCTTGCGGTCATTTTTACATTTCCCGATCATTGCGAAAGGTTTAAACCTATTCCACAAAAAAAAATTGCACAAAAATTGGAGCGCGAATAAAAAAAAATGCTCTTCTCTACCTCAATCGGAGCGAGAATCGCAAATTTAGAGTAAAATGGGGACAATTCCCATAATTCCTTTAAGTGGGGGAACATTGATTGTTATAAGTATACAATTATTCCACCTACTGTTTTAGTTAGTCAGCTATTAATTTGACCAATAATATTATAAATTTGTCATGAAATACACTTGGTAAACTCTCCAGCAATATTCAATTATCCTCGGTTTAATGCGTTGATTTCGCCATATTTTCTAACTAACTTATTGTTCATTACATTAATATACAAACTGTACAGTCTTAGATAATAACAACAATATATAATTTTTTTTTTCACTCCATCCAAGCCCTGCATAAAATGAGATTGTTTACTGACCACTTTAAGGATTACAACTTTGCAATATGTTTTTATATTCTACAATCAATCATTATTATTAATTGTAATTATATTCCCTGTTCACCTCATTCAAAATAATTTAAATTTGAACTATTCGTTATTAAATGATTGAAATAAATACAAACATCCCACGTGCTAGACGGGGAGGGGGAGAGAAAGAGGGGGGGGGAGCAAGGGAAGAAGAGGGTGGAAAGAATGATAGGAATGATGCAACTAATTTATCGATTATAAATGCAATTACTTCTCTCCATGGAATTATGAAATATGTTTTTGTCTACTTATATTGTTTGTTATATTTGTTTTTAAAATATTTAAACCACAGTGGTCTTTGCAGGCTTATTATCATTTGGTACGTTATTTTCATTTTTGCCTTCTGTGTACTTTCAAAATGTATTTGTTATAAATATTTAAACAATCAAGCCAATGACAGCTAACCACGTTTTGTATTATGCCATGTATACATACATAAATAAAAAAGTACAATATATTAATGAGTGAATCACCCTGTCCGCATCCAAACGACAGAGTTTGCTATTTGGTTTAAGTTGAGCCGTATTCATTTATCTTTCAATGTATCGGCATGAAACTTTTTTTCAATTGTTACTTCAAAAAGATTAGATATAAATATACAAAAATATATGTATATCGTTCTTTAACGATATAGAAGTAACAAGATTTATTTACGTTTGTCCTCGATAAGTAATCATATTTCTGTTTTGTAATTCTCATACATATTTACAGCGACAATGTTCAGTTGTCATTAAACACTAAAGATCGTAACAAATGTCATATAGGTTAACGTAAACCCTTAAAAAAAAAAACTAAACAAGGCCCATGGTCTTTAAACATAAGCATAACAAAATGCCATATAATCTTGTCTCTATTATTAAATGTTAAACAGATATGCATAATTATAATACCAGAAATCCGGAAAATTACTATGTAGACAAATCTAAAAATACAGCATCATCTCTTTCTTTCAAATCAAAAGGACCGTTAACATGGAACTCTCTTCCCCATTATATTAAATCAATTTCGTTTCTTCATTCTCTTAAATCAAAACTTAAGGTTTTTTTTATTCACAAACTCTACAAATAATTAATCCATCCTAACTTTTAAACTTCTATAACTTTTAAACTCTTTTGCCGTAATGTCACTATGCTTTTCTAATTCTTTATCAGTAAAAATTTCGGTATTTTAATAAGCTGGGAATTGCCTCGACAGAACCTTTATTTGGTTCTTTGGCAATTTCCATTTCATGTTCATTATCTATTTCCTTGATTTCTTACTCTTGTCTTTACTTCTCTTTTTAATTGTATGTTTAAAGTTCAATGTATACTGTGAATCCTACATGTAAATATGTTGTCAATGTACACTGTTTTTCAATGAACTTTTTTTTAATGGACTTGAATAAAATAAAATTGAATTGAATTCAGTACACTCAAGTCCTGTATTAGGCATGTAACACACGGTCTATATAGTACTTAGGCCTAACCATAAACATGTATAGATTTACAGTACCAAAAAAGGGGAAGCATTACAAATGTAGAAATCGTCAACTTATTTTCATTGCTTTATACAAAAACATAACACATACATACAATACATTACAATACACGAATACAATTCGTTGGTTACAACTATAACGTCTTTCATGAAAAACATGTGAGATATTTAGCAAATCTCAAGGAAACGTGTAAAATCAGGATCAATACCGAAACCCTCGTATTATAATGTAAAGGGAAATATTGCAGAAAACAAACAGATTCTAGGTTGCCAAGCTACGAAGAGAGTAGATGATGTCGTCTGGTTTAGATCGACGATGAACCAATACGGTGGATCCGGACTCCTTCTTTATATGAAGTTCCCCCAAATCAACAACTATCAAACCAATATAATTAATTTGAATATAATATCATATTGTATTGTTGTAGTGACGGGCTGACGGCTGTACGTCAAATGTTCTGGCGACAACGCGATCACTTCGTATACCAACAGAACTCTAAATTTTAAACCTAGGTCAAACCCTATACCTAAACTTAACCCTAATCATAACCCTTCACTTAAGATTAACCAAACTTACAGGCAGTACCTTCACAGGGTACCATTGGCAAAGTAATACTCAAATAAATTTTCACCAGAACATTGTCGGACATGTAATCAACCCTTCAACCATCAACTGTTTCTAAAAGTCGACACAGTAATCTACCGCACTAAAGACAAGTTTCACATTGCCCAATAGTTACTGGGTTATCATCTCATAACCTGGGTTATATAATCATAACAGTATGATTCTGTTCTTATTTGTCATCTGGGATTATCAATAGCACAGCACTGGACCAGGCAATGTGTCATCTCAACAATATGACATGATCATATTACATAAATGCGCATCGGTGTGATAGTAAGAGATTTACCAGAATATGACAAGGTTATAGTTGCGCTGTCGTTCCCAAGCCTTGTCTCAGCCGAACACGTATAGTTGCCATCGTCTTCTGCCGAAATATTAGAAATATCCAAATTACTCGACCTCAAGGTATCTTCTTGAAGAAGACTGTGGTGAATCTGATGGCGGTTGCTGTTGTTGATCTCCGCGCCATTAGAAAACCAGGTTATTGAGGCCAGGGGTCTGCTATCTGATGTGCATGTGAGAATGGCATCAACGCTCTTTTGACCACTGGAAACCCGACGAACAGAGTAGTCCACAATGACAGGATAATCTACATGTATGTATTTAGGAAGAAGAACATACGTTCAGGTTACAATAAAGCGAGGCTCAGGAAAAAATTATTTGTTGTCAAGCTAACATATAATAACCATGAGACTGAAATAGAACGGTCTTTCTGCAGGTCTATGTTATCCTTCGATATTAATCTTTACCAATCTTGATGTTTCAATAAAGATTTAGAGGGTTCAGAAATGTTACTGCGTCACAAACAGTTATTTGTACGAATAAACCAGCTGATTGTTTGGTTAAACAAATAACGTACCATCGTCTGTTCAATATAATCATGGACAAGTATATTGTCAGCTTACCAAGTAACGCAAATGGTAATAATTTGTTAGCGGTGAGGAAACGTTATATACATGTCTCGTGGTAAGATCTACACGATGAATGGGTAAGGCTAACATAAATCAGACTTACATAGAACATGCAGAACCTCACTGACATTCAAAGATTTCATGGATGCAGCGTTTGCTTGAAAAACTTGACAGACAAGGAGTTTTCCATGATCGTCTACCGTGGGAGTGAAATAAAAACACTTGTGGCATCCACTCGATGAATTCGATTCCTCGAAGACTGTATATTAGACTCTTTGGTGACGTTATTTGATCCAAGGTACCATTGAAAAGTAGATGCTGGATAGCCGTTGTCCGACGTGCAAGTCACATTTGATGACACTCCTTCCTGCAATGTTTTTGTTCCAACAAGGTAAGGAGGATCGGGTGGTCCTTGGAAGTCAAGATATATTTCATATGCCATATTTTAGATTATAAGTCCAAGTAACTTATCACATATACAGCTATACAATAACTAAAACCTGACGAAGATATATAAAGCAAGTACCTATGTAACTCAAGTTTTTGACAAGAAATAAAAATCGTTTGATATCTTAAGAATTTGCTTGAGCTGTCACCAAAGTTTGTTACTAAAGGCTTTCCACAATGTTCACTTCATTAAAATTAACTTGCTGCAGAAAAGTCAAAGTATGTTATGAGTCGCCCCTATATTCAAAATGTTAAGTTGCACATGTGATATAAACCAATGTCCAAGTGTGTCGCAGTATGTCACAGACTGCATTTGGTTTTCTTTTATGTAAATTAGAGAGGATTGTTAATACCACTTACGAATACTCACCATGGACGATAACCCGCACTTCTGTTTGAAGTTGGTTCATACCAGTATCGGCCACACATCTGAGAAATTGATTGTGATGCCTCCTCTTTGGAATTAACTGTAGATTAGATGTTGTGTCACGTAAACCTGGGTCGGCCAGATTGTTGGTGGATGTATATGTCATGCTTCCTAGGTCGTCGTCCGAACCAATAATCCATGATATAACAGCTGAAGGGCGAGATCCTACACTCTTGCAGGTGAATGATGTTGCCGAGTGTTCAAAGACTATGACACTTTTTGTCTCTGTTGGACTGGTGGCTATGGACACGTAGGCGGTAAGCCGGAGGTCACTTGGCGGTACTGAGTGGGGAGAGTAAGAAACCTCAATGTGCGTACGAAGTCATGTACTGAAAGGAGCGATACAGAGGTGAACTATTGCTAACAATATGCCAATAATATTTAAGTGGTAAAAGCATCATGACGTGACGATGTTATGATTCCGTACCAGAATGTAGAAATACAGAAGAGTAAAAGGTGTTTTGGAAGATGCTGAATGTTTAATCAATTTTAGACAATCCTTAAATTTAGAAACATATTCAGTTGGGCAGAGCACACACACACACACACACACACACGATCAACCATGGGATGGTATCATTTGTTAAATAATCACCTTGAACATCTAAGTGGATGAACATTTGAAGTTCATTATAAAGCTCCCGATGCGAGGCCAGACACCGAAAAATCTTTCCATCATCGTCCCTGCACGGTGTTACAGAAACAACTCTCCGAGAGGTGTAAGCGTCACCATATACAGCGTTATACTGATCTTCCAGGCGAGCCTGCACTTCTTCAGGAATCAGCCACTTCAGTTTTGCAGGTGGTTTAGCGTCTCGGACTGAACATGTTAGGTTGTGGGTTCGCCCAGATATGATGCTCACGGATGATCCATTCTTGTATCCATCCTCAGACTTATCATCGGTGATGGATAGGAAGCTAGGTGTGGCTGGAAATGAAGCAAAACGTAGATATTTATAAATAATTGACACTGGCATATATGTTTCGTTTACCAAATTCTAAGACAAATTTGTGCATAAACAAACAAAAAATATCACAAAATCAATACTATTTGTAAAATACCATGGTTTGTATTATTTTCAGCCAAGGATAAAACTCAATTAAAGTACAAATTATTGATGATGCTACACCTGACATTACTATTTTTTTTAAATCGGATGTTTTATTGATTTTGAAATAGTAATAAATCATATATATTGCAATTTTGCATACATCATGACTAGATTAAGCCATCTAGAATAATGTTAGAATACATTACTTGATAACAGTACCGTCAGTTCAATTCCACTTGTAAATGAATCAGAAGATGTGAAAATTAGGCACCGATATCTTCCGCTGTCATCCACTGTTAAATTCCTAACAGTTAGATTTCCACTGGAAGAATCTGCCCTCACACTGTACTTAAACATATCTGTGACATTTCGCTCGTTTCTGCATCCCATTCCTTGACAAGTAGCTAGGATTTTGTTATTCCAGTCAATCCAAGACAGTTGGCGATATGTCAATGGAGTGGTGACGATGCAGGCAAGTGTTATATTCTCACCAACGACTGGGAGAATATCTAAATTATGAATACTAGTAGACACGCTAATCTCATTTGTGTTAGAAACGATGAAGGTGAGGTAGAGAAATATATAAAAATATTCGTCCATATTGCTGTTATGTCTCATTTCTTTGGATATTTCAACATTTGAGGTGCGTTGCATGAACGATCTAGCAACCTAACAGAATATCTGGAGAATTAAAAAATGAACGTTGTGCACTAACGGTTAGCAATGACTGAGTGAGTAGACACATAGACAAGTGGCTGGTATGATTATTCACTTCTCTCTTGCGCTACGAAAGTGAAAACAATTCATCTATCTGAAGGACATAAGTGGAATGGTCCATTTTAAATGAAAAGGGGGTTTTGAAAACTTTGAACCTTAATAATGCAAATCGTGTCGTATTCTGATATTAAATCCAGATTGCAAGACAACGAAGAGAGTTGAAGATGTCGTTTGGTGTTGGTCGACGGTAACCAAAGAAGGTGAATCGGGAATAACTGCATTTTAAGGTTAATGAGTGGTAAAGTGTTAATAAAAAGTTGGTAGGGTCTGGTTTCTTCTGGTCAATGAATTGAATTATTAAGGATATTAAAATACGGTTTTAGTTTCATAGATATAAGTTGAATGTTTTTGTTGATATTTATTTGGAAGCGAGCACCATTTAATTAAATGAACATAGAGAATCAGCTCGGCAAGACACAAGTGGGCCTAAAGATACAATGAAAATGAATAAATAAAATAAGAACAGTTCTACTTACGAAAAAAACTTGAGTTAAAGACTGTCCTACCGGAGCCAAAACTTGAAAGAGCAATGCATTCGTAGTCACATGGATCTCCGAACAGATGGTTTCGAATCGCCACTAAACTGGAAGTCAGCATTTTACCTCCGGGGAAAGTCTCGTTATGAGTGCCATTATGAAACTGTATGCCGTTACAGAGCCATTGGAAGATAAAAGCACGAGGATTGGCGTCTGAGGTACATGTCAACACGAACCCAGTACGTTCTTTATTTGATGTAAGCCGTCGGGAAGAAACGAACACAACTGGATAATCTAGATTGAAGAAAAATATTGAAAATAGAACGAGAGATAAGGGTGTGAATTGGACTTAAATCAAAGTTATTAGCAGCGGACTGAATTACACTTGCCAATGTTTACAGGAAAAAAGAGAGTTATTGACATTATAGCCAGTTACTTTGACTGATCGTTATCCATATATATTCTGATGTCAGATAGGAAAACGTAGAAACAAAAGTGTGTTGAAGTAAAAGGAAAACAACAGAATTGAAAAAAACTTGAGGATAGTTGATGAACACGTACACAGACCAATATCCTACGCGATAATACAATTTCCTTACCAATTTCTTTCACTTAGAACTTAATACTCACATGATATGTTCAGGACCATGCTATCATTCATTGACCGCATGGAGGGTCTTGTGGGATAAACAGCCTGACAGAGAAGATGCTTCCCATGGTCAAACCTCTTTGGTATGAGGGTAAGGGTGCTTTCAACATCATACCGATCATCTACATTCATTGAAGTCTTAAGAGACGAATCATGTGTCACATTTCTAGTTCCGATGTACCAATGGATGAGCGGAGCAGGGTATCCATTGTCAGCTCTGCAGCTTGCATTGTTTTTTATACCATCTTGTAGGTCCTCTGGTTTCGTTATGTTAACACAATCGGGTGGCCTTTATATAGAAATGAAATATTTGGTTATGGATAAACCCTGATGGCTCAAATTTTCATTTGGTTAGATATATAAACTCTTAAATATAATATTAAGTTATACAGCGAGGAGAAAATACACGAGGGTCATGCTGACAAACAATCCTTATTTCCTCTCCCAGTCCAAGGAGATGCGAATTTAGTTATAACTATAATGATAATTTCGTTAAAATCGGGTATATATTAATAAATAAAACAGTCACCTCTTTTTATAGAAATGAAATATTTGGTTATGGGTAAAACCTTGATGGCTCAAATTTTCATTTGGTTAGATATATAAACTCTTAAATATGATATTACGTTATACAGTGATGAGAAAAGACACGAGGGTCATGCTGACAAACAATCCTTATTTCCCCTCCCAGTCCAAGGAGATGCGAATTTAGTTATAATTATAATGATAATTTCGTTAAAATCGGGTATATATTAATAAATAAAATTTTTTAATTATAAGTGATGTATGGGACTTTCAGTAATGGCATACCGGTATATTAAAGAACCTGAACTCACTATAAACCATCAGTTTAGCTACCCGTAGATCAAGAAAATCTCCCACAGATGCATAGCACCAAAGGTAAATCCCGTGGTGTTTCCTTTTGGGCACATCTCGATGGTACTTTCGGTGTCGAACAAACTTTGATCTACAGCACTGCGATAATTCGAATGACTTATGTTACTGGGAAGACTTTTGTTGTCGTCAAGTCTCCATGATAGTTCAGCTGCTGGTAGAGATCCTATACTTTTACAAGTGATTGAAGTCAATGAATCTTCATAAACGTAAATGGTGGTTGACCCTTGTCCATTTTTCTCGCTTTCTCCAGATAGAAAAAGCAACAGGCTAGAGGGAATAACTTAATAAAGAGAAATTGGGAAGGAAGCATGTAAGAAACGCTAGATATTGTTTTTAGGATATATATTTAATACGTTTGTACATATGGATGGAAATAAAATACTTGTAGAAAAAAATATGAATCTCGTGAATAAACATATCTAAACATTTTTTGATATTTCGGCCCAGAAACTGCTCGATTTTTAGTACATAAATAGAAATACAACACTGATCTCACCTTTAATGATATTGGCACCACATAACTACAGGGAAGACATGCTACCTAAACACATTTACTTACCCTGAACATTCAGTTGAACTGAGCGTTGAAGATCATTTTGTAGTTTTGGATGTGACGCTACGCAGCCGAGATTCTTTCCTTGATCATTCCTAGATGGTGTGATTGTAACAGTGTTCTGAGAGACATAGCTTTTGCCTCGTACGACATCAGATTGATCTTGACGAACAACGGTTACATCATCTGGTATACGCCATTCCAGTAACGATGGAGGTCTTGCTCCGTATGCTTCACATGTGATGTCGTACGGCTGTTCAGCTGATACCGTAACACTGGTGTTGCTCAGGTAGCTGCTCGATCTTACACTAGTGATAATGAACCAACTGGGTGGGGCTAGCGACACAAGAGGGAATATCTATGATTAAAACCCCAACTCCAATATAACTCGCTCTATCTGATAGTCTAAACCCTTGGGATGTAATCACTATTGACTGTTATCACAAGCTTTCAAAGATTACAACTTCAACAAAAAGATATTGGAATATCACATATCATTGAATTATTCATTTCACTATCACTTTGTTGGTGTCGACGTGTAAGTTACTTTGTAGCCGAATGTTTAGATACATTTTCAAATCAATATAGGTGATTGTTTTATCGAACTATTTGCAGAATATATCAAGTTTTGAACACGCCAATTTTGTGTAAAATGTAATACTTGAAGACCCTCTTTGTACTGTTTGCCACAGTGTTATGTATGAATGAATACGGTATCGTTTACTGGTGCTTTGTAGTTTGTTTTTATGAATAGTATACCTGGTATTAATGGAGTTACTCGCATGCTAGATGATCCTAGATTCGCTGACCCAACCGTATCGCTTACAGTGCATTTGTAATTGTCTTCATCATTTTGTTCAAGTTGTTTTATTGTTAGATTCACACTGTAATAGTCTGCTAACAAGCTGAATTTCCTTTGGTCGATAACAGTCAACATACAAGAAAGATGTTCCTGACAGTCGTGAGAGGCCAGCGTATTAAGATAACCACTCCCTTCCCAAATGACAAGTCGGTTCCTGGTTTGCGGCATAAAGGTACAGACAAGTGTGAAATCTTTCCCGATGATTGGTAGAGAGTTACCTGTTTGAATCGAAACTTGAAATGCATGGTATCCTGTATGGGCTAAAGTGAAATGAAAGAAACCCAGGTTATTGAATAAAGCATGTAACAAATACAGTGGCGTCGAGTGAGCCCAACTCACTTAAGAGGTACTGGACCCATGGGGGAGGACTACTGATTTATAAGGAGGGGGTTCTAGGCGTCTTATTTTTCTTGTCCTTCTTCCCTTTACCTCTTTCTTTTTCTCTTTCATCTTGCTTTTGTTTTTCTTTCTTTCAATTGTTATTCACTAATGGATTAGAGGTGTACCCTACCCTTGTAACTTTGTTCAAATAATTTTTCAGGCAAACACATTAGCCATGGATGACGATGGACCAACTTTCCAGTATATTAATCAATTGTCCCGAATACTTCTAAATACGTGTCTGCCATGCCAAGCATTGCCTAAGTATAAATGAGATGCACCTCATAGATCTGAGCTTGTAAAATGATTTCGATAGTTTGGCTTTATAACCATGTTTGTTGCCAATGTCGGAACTGCCATACAATCATACTGATTTGATAATGTTATTATCTATATACTTCCATCATGAAATGCAGAGAGTAAAAATGTAAGTGGATTATTATGAGGTAGACAGCATTTCGAAAACATGCATGCAACGTCTATTGAATAAATATAATTTTTACGTTGTTACATTTCCCCAATTCTTCACCCGGGCTTAGTACGAACGACTTTTATAAATTTAACATGAAATTAAACTTACCAGATTTCGAGATGATAACAGAGAGAAAAAGTAAAGCTTTAGCACAAATCGCCTTCAACATTCTGCAATCGAGTCTTGCTATTCGAAATTTTATTTGACGAGCTTACAACACACACTATCGATGATTATGAAAGCAATGCATTTGAACTAATAGACCATACTTTGGAGGAATTGTTGATGATTTATAGCGTTAGGAGTGAAACAAATATCATGTTTGTCCTGACACCGATTCAGTTTCACAACCTTCACTAAACCATCGATTTAAAATGACAGTATGCGCGCTGTAAACGATTAAACAAGAAGGGCGCTCTTTCTCTTCAGACATTGTGACAAAATCACTTCAAATTGGAAAATCAAGATAAAAGTAATTTTAAAAGTTTTCCATAGGATTCTGATGTAATTGTAGCAATTAGTATATGGTGCATATGATACCAAATCTAATCGTCTTTCAGTCACTCCATGTTTTTGTGTTAATACTTAGTTGTCTTTTTAGCCGAACACATGTCATATAGGTGCCATGTTTACGTCATGGCAAAGCAAAACTCAAAGAAATTGGTTTTATTCGAAGCTCTGCAACGAATTCCAAATTCGGTGGTAAAGTTACTATGTACCTTCCTCGCAATGCCACTATTCGACTATTGTGATGCTGTCTGATAAACTGTTTAGATAGACTCTTAGATAGACTGGTAATGCCTTTCGATTGGCTCGCAAGAATGATCCCGAGAGCACATCAAAACACCCACCTACCAGATTTATGTCAGGACTTAGGTTTGAAACAAGAAAATCAATTGAATGCCGAATAGACACTAGCACCACCAATACAATATTTGTAAAGGAACTTTGTTGATGTTGATGCTATCCGGACACATTATCGCGTACAAGATTACTATGTATATACTCATGCGAAGATATAAATGATCTCTTATTCTCACCTTCTTTCTCTCTCTCTATCTTTGTTTTCTCTCTCAATCCCATCCTCCTTCTCTTCCCCTGTCTATTTCTACCCCTTGCCCATTGTTCCGTCTCTTTTGTATCCTACTTGTACACTTTTCTAGGACACCTAGCGGATTCATGTCTCTTTTAATACCCACGTACTCAATTCTTCTCCCCTTTCTCCCCCTCTGTCTCTCTCTCTCTCTCCTCTCTCTCTCTCTCTCTCTCTCTCTCTCTCTCTCTCTCTCTCTCTCTCTATATATATATATATGTCTCTCTATTTATCTCTATTTGTCTCCCTTTCCCTCTTAACCGTCTTTCTTTAGTCTCCCTTAATTTATCACCCTTCATAGTTTCCAACTTATTATTACTAACGAACACTAACCTAAGAATTAGGACTGTGCACACTCTTTGCAAGATGGGAGAAGCGATCATTTTCATATTCTCATCATTGCAAAATGTCCAAACCTATTCCCTTTTTTTTTTGCAAAACGGAGCCCCGATAAATAAGTCCTCTCCCCTACCTCATTTGACTCGGGAATGCACAATTAAAGTAAAATGGAAAAAAACACATATTTGCTTGGATTTGTCTCATAAAAAGAAGTTGACCACAAACTGACTCCCACACGGTGTTGAGTGCTCAGAGGTCACGAGCTACTGGCTTCATCGGGCAGGTAGTTCCATTATGTGAATGGGTAAATTAACTATTACACAATGAGGGGACACATTACATTGTACAATAGGGACACACATTGTTTGTATTGTGCAGAACAAACTCTTTTATTGACTTACCTATTGAATGAAACTATAAAAACTAAATACATTTTGTATTCTTACAATTGGAGTACAAAAAATAATAACAGGTGAATGAAATGCATAAACACCCCCAAACACCTGGGAAGGAAGCATTTATAAATTTGAATACATATATTTGATAAACGACTCCGCATGAAACTTTAAAACCAAAATGTAATTTGCGTTCTGGCAATTGGAGTAAAAAGAAGTACAGCAGGTGAATGAAATGCTTCAAGAACACATACACCTGGGAAGGAAGCATCCATAAATTTGAATAATTTAGTTGATAAACGAAGTTTTGTGGAGCAGAAAGCAGTGGATTCTCAAAAACACGAACCCATTTAACAGAATGTCGGAACTAAAATTAAATTTGGGGCGGTTGGAAAATTCATCTTTCTACCCTGCGACTTTTATGGTACGATCCAGTAAATTAAAACAGTTAAATGGCTCTTATTTTAAAAGTACTCGTTAAATAAAACCCTAAACTTCAGTTATATCAGACAAAATATGTTATATCTTACTAATAATTAAAAAAAGGTGTATAAACATTGTGAAAGTGTAGCATTTTACGATAAAAGACATCGATTTAGCGAAGATGACGTTATTAGAACCTGTTTATGTGCGCTTGCATCAGGGAATTCAAGGTTAAAAGGTCAATTCACACGCTGATAAGTTATTGATCAAGCCTTTTTGTTTCCTTTATTCCGACAAAATTATACAAACAATCAAAACAAGTTTAATACCAGAAGAAAGCTAACTATTAGTATCTTCATTAACCGCTGGCCCCAAAGTCGCTTGTCCACAGTGAAACGAGTGAGAGCCTGCAAGAGCGGCCAAAGTGTGATTGAAACTCGCTATTTGCTCTTCTCCAACGCAAAAAAGACGACATTGGGCTGGATAAATATATTTTTCCGACAAAAGTACAAACAATTTGCACATGGTCTTTTTATATTATACTTTATGAAATGTTACCCGAGTGACTTCCGGGTACCCCGATGCTGGAAAGAAACGCACATTTTAGAAAACTTCACTTTTCATGGAAAAGTGCTTATTTGTTATATGCACGCAAGTCAGATTGAGCGGATGATACAACGTTTACATATGTAACAACTCCTTTAATGGGATAGTTGATTGTGAGGACGAGACAACGATACCACCTTTTGATTGTTCAAGTTATTTAGTTATCGGTTTAATTGATCATATTATAAATCTTTCGGCAATAAACTTAGGTAAAGAAATATGTCTACCGGCAATATCCAATTATCCTCGGTTTAATGCGTTTATGTCGCCACATTTTTAGTTGTTTAGTATTAATTAGATCATAGTATAAAAAAAGGATTAAATTATAATACAATATTAAAATCGTTCACACTATTCAAGCCATGCATATAATTACTTACTTTATTGACCACTTAAACGGGTTATAGTTGTGCAATATTTTTCACATTTAAATACTCAGAACTTTGCTTATAATGTTATTATCTTTTGAACTTATTTTAAATACTTTACAAATTTGATCACAATCGAAAATACCTCTTCTCCATTACGAATTATCTTTTATGACTGATATTAATTGTACTATTTTTGTTAATTATATAAACCTCGTTGGTCAAGCTACCATGATTATCATCTCCTGTTTGTATAATTTTACCATTTGCATAATTGTACTTTATGGATTTTAAAAAAATATCTTGGTAAAATGTGAATAATTCAGACGTTGACTACTAATAACGATTTATATTATACCATGAATTAAATGAATAAATTAAGTAAAATCTATTAATGAGTGTATCATCATGTCCACATCCAAACGAGAGAGTGTGCTATTTAGGTCAAGGCAACCTGTACTCATTAGCCTTATCTTTAAATGTATAGGCATAACGCTATTTTTTTTTACAGTAATTATGTTTAAAAATACTAACTACATATATATTGTATTACACGATATAGATATATATCCTCTAATGATGATTTTCCCTAGTAATATACTCTAAAGTGATATTTTGCTGAAACCCATCATCGATTCCAGGTTGCCAAGCAACGAAGAGAGTAGATGATGTCGTCTGGTTTTGATCGACGGTGCACTCATAAGGCGGATCTGGAATCCCTGGGGAAAATTTCTAAAAGATGGTATCAATGACAGAGACAACATATTTGTTACCCGAAAATCAGCAAGTATCCAAGCAATACAATTTATTTGGATATAATTTCATATCGTACTGTCGTAGTGACTACTGTACGTCACATGTTCCGGCGACAACCCGATCACCTCTTTTTTTTTTATCCTGGGCCAAACCCTTTACCTAAACGTAATCCTTCCCCTAACACTACGCTTTACGTTCACCCATTTTTTAGGCAGTTTTACAATATTCAACCCGACTGAAACCCCATATCAATTTTCATTCGGATTTTGTTTAATATTTCATCAAGGTCGACAAAGTAATCTACCGTAACATTTCCCGATAGTTACTCTAACTGGGTTATCATCTCAATACCTAGGTTATACAATCGTAGCAGTATGATACTGTTCTCATTTGTTATCTTGGATTATAATTGGTACAGCACTGTACCAGGCAATGTGTTATCTTAACAATAGGACACAATAATTTTAAATAATAAATGCGCCTTGGTCTGATAGTGAACGATTTACCAGAAAATGAAAATGTTATTGTTGCCCTGTCGCTCCCAAGCCTTGTAGCAGCCAAACATGTATAGTTGCCATCGTCTTCTGCCGAAATATTTACAATAATCAGAATACTCGACCTTAAGGTATCTTCTTGTGGATGACTGTGGTGAATGTGATGGCGGGTGCCATTGATGAGTTCCTTGCCATTCAAGAACCAGGTTATTGAGGCTAGGGGTCTGCTTTCTGAAATACATGTAAGCATGGCATCAACATTGTGGTGACCAATGTAAACCCGACGAACAGAGTAGTCCACAATGGCAGGAGAATCTACATGTTTGTATTTAGAAAGAACAAAATACGTTCAGGGAACAATAATGCGAGGCTCAGGGAAATAATATTTGAGATGGTGTTTCTTATTAGCGTAAGTATTACATGTTTTAATAGTTACCAATATTGTGTAAAACCAGCATGTCAGCACTGTTATCTTAACATAATGGTCTTTCTACATGTATATGGTATACTTAGGTATTAATCTGAACCAAACATGTATAATTCATAAATGTTCTTGAAACACAAACAGTATTTTGTAAAAGGATATACAATCAAGCCAAGTGATGTTTGTAAAACAAAAAGCGTACTTTGGCTGTTCAAAATAATCATAGAAAAGTAAATATAATCGCCGGCTCACAGCTGCACATGATGCTAACACAAAATATGTGAACGGTAGTAATGTTTCTATGGCGGTGACGCAACATAATATACCTGCCTCGTAATAAGATCTACCCAATCAATGATTTTGGCTTAAATAGATCAGACTTACAAAGAACATGAAGAATCTCACTGACACTCCAAGACTTCACGGATGAAGCGTTTCGTTGAACAACTTGACAGACAAGGAGTTCACCATCTTCGTCTACGGTGGGTGTGAAATTTAAAACGCTCATGGCATCCAGTCGATGATCTATATTCCTCGAAGACTCTGTATTAGAATCTTTGGTAACGTTCTTCGATCCAAGGTACCACTGGAAGGTTGGTGCTGGGTAGCCATTGTTGGATGTGCAAGTCATGTTTGATGACACTCCATCCTGCAACCATCCCATTCCACTTAGGTAGGGAGAATCCGGTGGTCCTTGAAAATCAAAGTGCATTTCTTATGTCACAATTTGTTTTTATTATTGACTTAAAACAGGATACAGGAAATTAAACCTGATGATATGTTTTAACAACAATGGCCAATGACTCTCAAATATTCCGACAACAGGAACACATCGGTTGATATCTAAAGGAATTTGCTTTAGCCGTCCCAAAGGTTTGTCACTACATATTTTTCTACATTTTCACTCTTTAGAGATATCTTATCGCATAATTGACAAACCGTGGTATGAGTTAACCCGGTTATTCGAATTATATAGTTTTACATCAGGTACATATATATGTCTAAACGTTTTAAAGTATGTCCAAGTCCGCATTACGTCAGCTCTTGTGAGTTAGAGAAGATGAGATAACATTAAATACAACGTAATAATACTTACCAAACACTATAACCCTCACTTCTGTGTGACTTTGATTTATACCAGCATGGGCCACACATCGAAGGAGTTTATTGTGATGCCTCCTCCTTGGAATCAACTGTAGAATGGACTTCGTGTCACGTAGACTTTGGTCGGCCTCATTCGTGGTAGATGTAGATGTCGTGCTTCCTAGGTCGTCGTCCGAACCAATGATCCATGATATAACAGCTTTTGGACGAGATCCTACACTATTGCAGGTGAATGATGTTGCAGAATCTTCAAATACGTTGACACTTCGTGTCTCTGTTACATTGATAGCTATGGATCCATACGCGGTAAGTTGGAGGTCATTTGGTGGTACTGAGTAGGAAGACAAAATAAGAACCCACATATTCATACGGAGTAGGCTACTGAAAGGAGAAATACTGACGTGAAATATCGCTAACAATATAATAACAGTATAATATCGGTGAAGGCATCATAGGATCTAGTGACGTTCGTGTGACTCCCTACACGAATGTAAAAGATACAGAAGAGTGAGAAACGATTTAGAAGATGTTAAATGTTTCATTCATTTAAGAAAATCCTGACACTCGGGAGGAATATTCACCCATTAGGTAGAACACACACACCGAGCGAACATGGGATGATATCATTAGTAAGATAATCACCTTGAACATCTAATTGGATGAATATTTGAAGCTCATTATCCAGCTCTCGATGCGATGCCACACAGCGGAAAACCTTTCCATCATCGTCCCTGGACGGAGTTACGGAAACAACTCTTCGAGAGGTGTAAGCGTCACCATGAACAGCGTTATACTGATCTTTCAGTTGAACCTGCACTTCTTCAGGAATGTGCCATTCTAGTTTTGCAGGTGGTCTAGCGTCTTGGACTGAACATGTTAGGTTGTGGGTTCGCCCAGATGTGATGCTCACTGATTCTCCATTCTTGTATCCAGTCTCAGTCCGGCCGTCAGTGATGGATAGCAATCTAGGTTCGGCTGGAAGAAAAAAAACATGCATACCGTTTTAATTCTTAGAATAACATTATCAAGCGAGATATCTCCCAAAGACTATGACATCTGAGACACAAATTTACCACACTTGAACCATTATCATTATAGCAAAATAGCATAGTGCCATGATTATCAGTCACAAATGACATTAGGATATTTGGAAATATGTCTCTCTTCGTACAGTGACACAAATCTAACCCTATTATCATTATACCACATGTAATTGAACTTTGAATATGTATACCGAAAATAATAAATAAATAATAATAATAATATTTATTTTTTATGTAGCACTTAATACAAATGTCTCTAAGCGCTTTACAAATATACTATTACTCCGGTCATTGGATTCAGTGCTTGCCCGCACACACTATGTGCACAATCTCCACTCCCTAACAACATAACATTTTACCTGATAGCACCACTTTCAGATCAATCGCATCGGAAGCTGCATCAGAAAAAGTGCCTACTAAGCACTGGTATCTGCCGCTGTCATCCAATGTTAAATCCCTAATAGTTAGATTTCCGCTGGAAGAATCTGCCCTCAAACTGTACTTTGATACATCTGGAACATTTAGCTCGTTGCTGCATCCAACTCCTTGACATTTATCGATAGCCAGTATATTGCCGTTCTCATCCTGCCAAGACAGTAGCCGAGACGTGGATGGTGGCGTATAAATGCAGGCAAGTGTGATATTCTCTCCAACGACTGGGAGGACTTGTGGGTTCCAAATACGAGTAGACATATTCATTTCATACGTTTTAGAAGTGGTAAAGGCAAGAAAGAAAAATATTCGAAGACAATAATTCATATTGTCATTAATGGATTGTCTCTCCCTGTATATTCAAACCGTGGACGTGTGTGTCAAGAACCAACGTGCATCTTACCAGAATATCTGCAGATAAAAACTGAAGAGGAAGCAATATCGGTTTTAAATGGCAGAATGAATGGAACAGTGACTGACACGCATATCAAATTCTCTCTTGCGCTACGGAAGTGAAAGCAATTTATCTTTCTGAATGGCATTATTGGAATTGTCCATTAAATGCAAAGGGGGTTTCGAAAACTTACTCTAACTAGCACCTTAAACAGTAAAATATTAAATTATATTATCAGTCAACCATCGAAATGTTGTAGCATTTTACTTTGACCTCTTAATAATGCCAATTATGTTGTAACCCGATGTTGAATTTAGATTGCTAGGCAACGAAGAGAGTTAAAGATGTCGTTTGATTTTGGTCGACGATAAGCCAAGAAAGTGAATAGGGAACAACTGCATTATAAGGAAAATTAAGTGGTAAAGCGTAAATGCAAAATTGGTAGGGTCTGGTTTCTTCAGTTCAATAACTTGAATCCTTAATGAGTAATAGAAGACGGGTTTTTATGAATATAAGTTTCATGTTTTTATTCGAAAGCCAGCACCATTTAATTCAATGAACATATAGTATCAGTTAGACAAGACACAACTTAAACTAAATAAACAATAAGAAACACAGGTCTACTTACGAGAAACTGTGTAGTTAAAGACTGCACTACCGGAACCGTATCTTGAAACAGCTATGCAGATGTAATCACATGGATCTTCGGACGGGGGGTTTCGAATCGTCACTTCACTGGAAGACAGTGTTTCACCTTTTTGTATCGTCTCGGAGAGTGTTATGTTACGGGTGTCGCTAGACAAATGTGTGCCATTACAGAACCATCTGAAGATAAAAGCAGGAGGATTGGCGTCTGCAGTACATGTCAACACGAACCCATTACGTACTTTATTTGATGCTAGCCGTCGAGAAGAAATGGACGCAACTGGATTGTCTAGATAATATAAATATATCGGAATACGTTTTGAAAAGACGTGATATAAACTAGAAGGATAGGTATGGGTGGGGATAGGAACTTGTAGGTCAATTTAGGTTTTTGTGATGGGACTTGAATTAACGTACATATACAAATGGACATACAGATTATTATCTTTACTTATTGTTTTCCATATGCAACTGCCATCGGTAGTAACAAGCATTTACAGAATGTTACATACATATAGGAAAACATTGTGTAGAATTTAAGGGTAGAAAAGCAATCGAAGAGTCTTGATAATAGTTGAAAGACAAATATTCTACGCAGCTTTAGGAGATCTTTTTAATATATTTTCTTTACCAAAGGTTTAAATGAAAAATAATACTCACATGATATGTTCAGCATCTTGCTATCATTCACTAACCGCATTATGTGTGTTGTATGTTGAACTGCCTGGCACAAGAGAGGTTTACCGTGATAAAACCTGTTTGGATTGAGGTTGAGGGTGCTTTCAGCATCATAACTATCATCTACATTCATTGAAGCCTTAAGAGACGAGTCATGTGTCACATTTCTCGATCCGATGTACCAATGGATGAGCGGAGCAGGGTATCCATTAACAGCTCTGCAGCTTACGTTGGTTTCTATACCATCTCGTAGATCATCGGGAGTTGTCATTTTGACATCTGGTGGGCCTTGAAATAGAAATGTAAAATGGAGTTATGGGTACTTTGGTAAAATATAGAATAGTATATACGTAATATTTAGATATACTGCCAGGAGGAGGGACAACATGATGACAAACATTCGTTTCCCCCTGTCAGTTACAGGCAACGCCAAATTGTTTACTATAATGACAATTTCCATGTAAATGGGTATATATTGATAAACAAAAGAGAAACATCTTTTCAATTTTTAGTGATGAATTGGACTTTGAACTCAAAACATTTCCAACATATTTCAATGAAGAAAGAATTCCAGCATTTTGAAGAACCCAAACTCACCGTAAACCACCAATTGAGCTGCCAGATGATCAAGGAAGTCTCCAATTGATACAAAGCACCAAAGGTACATTCCGTGGTGTTTCCTTTCTGGATGTATCTTGATGGTACTTTCGGTGTCGAACAAACTTCCATCTAAAGTACTGCGATACTTCGAATGACTTATGTTACTGGAAAGACTTTTGTTGTCGTCAAGTCTCCAGGACAGTTCAGTTGGTGGTAGTGATCCAATACTTTTGCAAGTGATTGAAGTCAATGAATATTCCTGAACGTAAATTAATGTTAATTTTCCGTATTCTTCGCTATCTCCAGTTGGAAAAAGGAACATGCTAGCGGGTAAAACTTAATGTAAGAGAATTGAAAAGAAAAAAAAAACATTTACACAATCATTTAAGAAACGCTAGAAAGAGTTGTATTTTCTTTAAACGTATGAACATATTGGCTATAAAGAATATATTTGGAGAGAAAATATGAATCACCTAAACAAATATTCGTAAATATTGATAACAAATTGCCCTAGAAACTGCTCCAATTTTGCCATCTGAATTGAGCAAAACATATCGAGTTAGCAAAAGAAGACACGACCCCTACTTTATACAATTACTTACCGTGAACATTCAATTGAACCGAGCGTTGAAGATTATTTTGTAGTTCTGGGTGTGATACCACACAGCGTAGAATCTTTCCTTGATCATTCGTAGAGGGCGTGATTGTGGCAGTCTTCCTAGATAAATATTTGTTGCCTTGTATAACATTGGACTGATCCAGAATAGCAACGGTTACATCATCTGGTATACGCCATTCTATTTCTGCAGAAGGCCTCGCCCTGTCGGCTGTACAAGTGATATCAAGCGGCTCACCAGCAGTTACCGTTAAATTGGCGTTGCTAGGGTAATAACGGCTCGACCTTACATCAGTAATCCCGAGCCAATAGGGCGGAACTGGCGACAAAAGAGGTAATCGTTAATGATAGTCTACTTGTGGATTCACTAATTCATTCAAATCACAGTACACTTAGCCTTTCAAAATTAGACATTGGAACACTACTTTTCATTTACATAGTTCCTTTAAAAGCAATATCAGTATTCTTTGTTTAAGTTAATAACTTATTAATGTTGTTGCTTATTGCGATTCAAAAGACCATTGTCGTTTAACATGTTAGTATTCCCCTCCCTGTACGGTAGCATCTACCGAACCCCCAATATTCTGCAAACTAAAATGTTGTCGACATTATCAGGACGCATCAAGAATAATGATTTGATACAGATGTATCAATTACTTTGTCTATTTACTAGCATGTGAGCACGTGAGACTTGCGTTTGTCTTACATTTTCATGTAGTAATATCCACATAATACAAGACAGGAAAAGAGAGGTTCGATTAAGATTTTAATCAAAAGTATATTTTCACATCATGAATTAGCCATATGTTATCCTTCACGTTTGCTGTGTAAATTAATTATAATTAATAACATACCTGGCGGCAACGGTGTCACTTGCATGCTAATTGATCCTGGACTCTCTTCCCTGTAAATACTGCTTACTCTGCACTGGTAACTGTCGCTATCATTTATGTCAAGCTTTTTAAGTGTCAAATTTCCACTGCTAGTGTCTGCCAAAAGGTTGAATTTCGAAGGGTAAGGACCATAGGACAATACACAAGGCCATTGCGGCACACAAGAGTCAGAGGCTACCACGATGTTGTTACTCTTAGCCCAAACTAGCCGCCGATATCTGATTTTCGGCGTGAAAGTACAGACCATTGTGAAATCCTCGCCAATGACTGGAAGAGAGTTTGATGTCAGAATAGACACTTCAAATGCATGGTATCCTGCATGGGTTAAAAAAAAACGTATTAACAAGGAAATGAACCTGTCATATTGCTTTAGCATGCACCAAATACAGTAACTTACTGTATTTACCTTAAAGGTAACGCAAGTCCACGCACTAAATGGGGATGGTGGGGGAGGCTGGGGCATCAGACGTATACAGAAAAATAAATGGGAATTTACTGATTAGGAGATGGGTAAAGAATGTGGTCTGGGTGTCTTCATTTTGATCGTCCTTTTCCTTTTCTTCTTTTCACATTTTCCTTTTTGCCTGTTCACAATTTCTCTCTCACCTCATTTTGTTTCCCATTTAATTGTTTTCCACCTCAGGGTAAAGGGGGGGGGGGGGGTGGGCATGCCCTCCTGTGTCATCTCCTAAGGCCACGCAACCGATCAAATACATACTCTGCTAAACACATTAACGATGAAAGACGATGGCCTAATTTTTCACCAGTATATCATTGAACTCGCGCGAATGGTTTCTAATACTTGTTTGCAAAGGAAAGCAATTACCTAGCAATAAATGGGGTTTACGACAATGATCTCATTCGGTACAATTCTTTTGATAGTTTTTCTTTACGAAAAAGTTTATGAGATAGACATCTTTTTGATTGGTTAACATATTACATTTATTACATCGTTACATCTCCCTAATTCTCCGCCTGGGCTAAAAACAAACAACTATTGTGACGTTAACATGAGATAAGACTTACCACATTTAGAGATGATAACTGCGAGAAAAAGAAGAACTTCACCACAAATCGCCATCAATATACAGTAATCGAATCTTACCATTTAAAATTCTATTTGATGAGCTTATAACACACACTATCGATGAATGCAAGCAGACTGTACGAAGATAGTAGATGCTTATGAACGAATAGCCCATACTCTGGATTAATCATTAGTGATTTATAGCGTTAGAAGTGAAACAACTATCATTTTGTCCTGACATCAATTCAGTTTCACAAACTTCACAAAACCATCGAGTTAAAATGACAATATGCATGCTGTACATTTTTAACATGAAGGGCGCTGTTTACTTTTCGGACATTGTAACAAAACCACTCCCAATTGAAAAACCAAAATCAAATTAATTGTTAATTTTAAGCCTTTGATGAAATTCTAGCAATTAATATATGGTGCATATGATACCTAAGCTAATCGTGTTTCAGTCATCCAATATTCCAAAGATCCGGAGACATTACCGCGCTAAGGTTTGTTATATACATTCATGTACAGGTATAAATGATCTCTCTTTATCTCTCTCTCTCTTTCTCACTCCGATCCTCCTTCTCGTCCTCTTCGTTTTTGTGCCCTCTCCCATTTGTTATGTCTTTTGAACCCTACTTGTACACTCTGTTAGTACATTCACTTTATAGGATTAATGCCTCCTGTAATATCCACGTATGTAGTCAATTGTTCTCCCCTCCCGTTCTCTCTCTTTCTCTCCAACTTCCTCTTTACCATCTTTCTATAATCTAACTCAATCTATCCTCTCTAAACAATATCATATGTATAATCTCATTTTCCTCCCAACAGCGGTATTAATCAGTTTTTAGACAACGCACTAATTTATCAATTGGATCTGTTAATCATACCATATGTTTAGTTACACTTTGCAAATTGTATTTATAATATTTCCTCGTATAGGATTTATCTTTGTTTCTTGTGTTTTTTATGTATTCAATTTGAATAATTTAGTCTCTTAATATATTTTATATCTCTTCTTTTTTTTACAGGGCCCTCATGGATAGCAGTTTGTGAAACTGGAGAGGCTAAACCGTTTGAAATAATAAATACATGAATAACATTTCCAATAATCAAAGAGTTGGGACTGCCCACCCTCAATAAAAGACGGGAGAACAATGAGCTGGGACTGAGTCTGGTAAGAGAATGGCTATCATCAAACTTTCAACACTGGCTTACTTCCTTGCGCTCATGTTTACATTTGCATTATTGCGAAATATCCAAACGTATTCCGATTGTTTTTGTTGTGGAAAAAAACAAACTGCTGATAACAAAGTGCTTACCCAACCTCATTTGGCTCGTGAATGCAAGTAAAATAGTAACGATCCAACAACACCTTTGAATGAGGGACTATTGATTGCGGGGACAATACAATGATCCCACCTGTTATATGTAGATATTTGTTTGTTTGTTTGAACGTGTGATTTTAAATATATCGTGCAATATAATTAGGTAAAACAATTTTCACAGCAGTACCACATTATTCTCTGTTTAATACGTTCATGTCGCGCTTTTGTAAATTATCTAGTGTAAATTCGAGTATGATACACAACATATAATCTTAGATTATAATAACATCTATACAATCTTCACACCATTCAGGCCCTCCTAAAAATTCGGAAGTTTCTTGGCCACTTTGACGGCTTATGATATTTTCAATATTTGTACACATTTTAATTATCAAATCTTTGTTTAGAATTATATTTCCTTTTGAACTTTTTCTAAATACTTCGAAGTTTGATCACAAATGCAATTATTTCTCTCCTTTGAATTTCAAATTGGGTTTTATGACTCATGATATTATTTGTTCTGTTTTTGTTTTTTCTTGAATTATTTGAACCAAACAGTGGTCAAGCTATCCTGATTATCAGCGGGTGTTTGTATAAATTTACAATTCGCATTATTGTATTCTATGTATTTCTAAAATGTGAATAATTCAGCCATCGACTACTAATCGCGTATTGTATTATACCATGAGTTAAATTTATAAAAAGGTGTAACCTATTAATAGGTGTATCACCATGTCAACATCCAAACCACAGAGTGTGCTCTTTAGTTCAGGTTGAGTTATATTCATTACTTTATATTCCAATGTATTGGCATACATCTATTTCCCAATAATCATTTAAAAAAGATTTAAAAAAACATACTTATCGTCCTTTGCGATATTGAAAAATATCCTTTAATGACGATTGTTCCTGGCAATATCCTCCAGAGTGATTGGCTGAAACTCATCATCAATTCCAGGTTGCCAAGCAACGAAGAGAGTAGATGATGTCGTCTGGTTTTGATCGACGGTGAACTAATAAGGCGGATCGGGAATCCGTAATTAAAAAAAAAAACACATTGACTCCTACGTTACTGTAACTGAGTTATAAGCTCATTACCTAGGTTTTACAGTCGTTACAGTATTATACTGTTCTCATTTGTCATCTGGCATTATCGATTGCAAAGCTATGTACCAGGCAATGTGTCTTCTAAACAATATGACATGCATGTACCTTGCTCGATAGTGAAATATTTACCAGAATATAAAAAGATTATAGTTGCGCTGTCGTTCCCAAGCCTTGTCTTAGCCAAACATGTATAGTTGCCATCGTCTTCTGCCGATATATTAGAAATAACCAAAATGCTCGACCTCAAGGTACTTTCATGAAGAAGAATGTGGTGAAATTGGGTGCGAGTGCTGTTGTTAAGTTCTCTGCTTTTCGAAAACCATCTTATTGAGGATAGGGGTCTGCTATCTGATGTACATGTAAGAATGGCATCAACGCTCTGGTCATCACTGGAAACCCGACGAACAGAGTAGTTCACAACGACAGGAGAATCTGCAATAATGTATTCAGAAAAAAGGTAAATGGGTTTGGGACACAATAAAGCAATGCTCAGGAATAAATAATTTGTGATCGTTTTTCTGATTAGCACAAGTGCATACAAAATGTAATCGTTACCAATATATTGTAAGGCTAACGGGTCAGCACCATGATCGTAACATGCAACTATTTATTTCTCCAGGAGGATGGTATCCTTTGGCATTGATCTAAAACACGGCTGATATTTCATTTAAGAATTACAGAGTTAGAAATGTAACACAAGTTGTTATTAGAAACAAGAAAAATATTCAAACCAGTTGATGTTTGCAAAAGAAACAACGTAGTTTTGTGTGTTCAAGATAATAATGGGAAAGTAGCAATTATCGCCAGCTCAAAACAAAAAGGACACTTACGTCGGGTAATGTCAATGGTTTTGATATCCTTTTTTTAGCAGCGGGGCAACGTAATGTACCTGCCTCGTAAGAACTACATGATGGGCGGGTTAGGCTGACATAAATACAACTTACAGAGAACATTAAGAACCGAACTGATCTTCCAAGACTTTTTGGATGCAGCGTTTAGTTGGAAAACTTGACAACCGAGGAGTTTCCCGTGATCGTCTAATGTCGGTGTAAAATTTAAAACACTTATGGCATTCATTAGAGGACGTCTATTCCTCGAAGACTGTGTTTTAGAATCTTTGGTGACGTTCTTTGATCCAAGGTACCATTGGAAAGTTGGTGCTGGGTAGCCGTTGTTTGATGTGCAAGTCACATTTGATGACACTCCGAACTGCAATCCTTCTGTTCCATTTAGGTAAGGAGGATCAGGGGGTCCTTGCAATAATCAAAGTGTATTTATGATGTAATTATTATGTTAGATTACAAACCCCAGATAATTGCATATAACATATAATTATACCGATACAAAAAACAGGTCTTGCCGATATTATGAGCAGCAAAAACCTATGTACGGTAAAAGAAATAACTCTTATTCTGACACAATAAATGAATTATGTTGATGTCAATATTATTTTGTCTTTAGCTGTCACGAATGTTTGTCAATAAATATCTACACAATTTTCACTTCATTCAACTATATGGCTGCATAATAGTTGAAGCATGGTATGAGTACACCCATTTATTCAAAATGTTAAAATTCGCATCTGGTAGACATCGAAGGAATACTCACCATAGACGATAACCCTCACTTCCGTTTGACGTTGGTTCATACCAGCATAGGCCACACATCGGAGAAGTTGTTTGTGATGCCACCTTTTTGGAATCAACTGTAGAGTAGACTGGGTATCACGTAAACCTTGGTCGGCCTCATTCGTGGTAGACGTAGAGGTCGTGCGACCCAGGTCGTAGTCCGAACCAATGATCCATGATATGACGGCCTTAGGGCGAGACCCTACACTCTTGCAGTTGAATGATGTTGTCAAGTCTTCAAAGACCATGACACTTCTTGTTCCTGCTTCGTCGATAGTCATTAGATCAGATGCGGTGATCCGTAGGTTAGTTGGCGAGACTAAATGAGAGGAGAAAAAAAAATACCACAAAAAGGCATGTAGACATTTTTTTTTTCTTTAGGTTGATGTTTTCTGTGGAGAGAGGGAGAGACTCATTTGAAGTAACGTAACGGAATAATCATTAAATTATATATTTCAGCAGTCGGAAAATGTAAGTATTTCGTCTATTATCAAAATATTTAGCGGAAATCATGTTTTAGGTTGAGTTGAATGTTTCATCCATTTCAGACAATCCTCACATTTAGATGCCTTTTCTGTTGGGCAGAAACACACACTTTGAGCAACCATAGGACGAATTCATTAGTAGAATAATTACCTTGAACATCCAGACGGATGAACATTTGCAGCCCACTATCCAGCTCCCGATGCGAAGCCATACAACGCAAAATCTTTCCATCATCCTCTCTCGAGGGATTTACAGAAACGACTCTTTTAGAGGTATAAGCTTCACCATGAACAGCATTATACTGATCGTCCAGTCGAATTTGTACTTCTTCAGGAACGTCCCACTCTAGTTCTGCAGGTGGTCTTGCGTCTTGGACTGAACATGTGAGGTTGTGGGTTCGCCCAGATGTGATGCTCACGGATGCTCCATTCTGGTATCCATCCTCAAACCGAACGTCCATGATGGATAGCAATTTAGGAACAGCTGACAAATAATCAATATACAGTATATATATTATATAAATATATGTACCATTAAAATGTATGTCTTGTCAACCTGGTTGTTTACCAAATTCTAGGACCATTTCGGAAATAAACAAATTAATAATACCACAATATCATATAATTTGTAAAATGCCATAGTTTGGATTTTCCCCGTCAATAATCGAACTCAATATATACTAATAGTGGTAAAAAACCAATTACAGTACTAGTAATCGACGACGCTACACATGACATTCATTTACATTGTAATTTCGCACACATCACAACCCGATTAAGCTCTATAGAGTAATGTAAGCAAACATTACCTGATATCAGTACTTTCAGTACACTTCCACTGGTAACTGAATCATTCGATGTAAAAACCAGGCACCGATATTTACCGCTGTCATCCACCGTTAAATACCTAATAGTTAAATTTCCGGTAGAAGAATCTGTCATCAAACTGTACTTGGACATATCCGATACATTCTGCTCGTTTCTGCATCCCACCCCTGGACATCTAGCTAGGATACTGTTATTCCAGTCCATCCAAAACAGTTGGCGATATGTCGACGGGGGCGTGAGAGAGCAGGCAAGTGTTATATTCTCACCAACGACTGGGAGGATTTCTGGGTTCTGAATACGAGTATACACGCTCATCTCATTTGTCTTAGAAACGATGAAGGTGAGGAAGAGAAACATTCGAATACGTTCGTCCATGTTGTTATTACGTCTCATTTCCTTGTATATTTCAACTTAGGAGGTGCGTTGCATGAACTACCCTGCTACCTAACAGAATATATGGAGAATTAAACAATGAGCGATGTGCAGTACAGGTTAACAACGCCTGAATGAGTGGACACAAAGTAAAATGGCTGATATGCTTATTAACTTCTCTCTTGCGGTTCGAAAGTGAAAGCAATGTATCTCTCTGAAGAAAATTAATAGGCTGTCAGCTACAAAAGATGGGGGGGGGGGGGATTCCGAAAACTTACGTTACTTATCTTTTTCGGAAGTATGAGATGAATTGTTATTATGAGTCAATCATTGACTTTTCCTCTTTGTTCTACTTCTAACTTTCGATGCTGCCATTAAGTTGTATACAATTGGTAAATATATTTATGAAGAGGAATACAGGGAATGATATAAAATGTTGTACTTTGCACAATGGGAGAAGTGTTTGGGGATATACGTATTATTTCTCACCTTTTTGACATTATCCTTTATTTTCTGCATTTACTTCTTAACTGTTTACGTATAGAAGCCAATATTATTATAAACATTATGTTTTTAAGAAGGTTTTGAATATTCCACCAATTCACAAATGATTTTTTGTTAAAGGTGACTGTACTATTAATTAATCATCACTCATATGTAAGTAGGTAGCGAGTCTTAAGAAATATTTGTGCTTTGTTTGATTATAAGTAATGTTATTGTTGTTCACATTAAAGTGGGACCACTCATGTATATTGTGTATATAAACGATATAATGAACGCATCATCCGTTTTGCCATTTATTCTCTTTGCTAACGATAAAAAAAGTGTTTTGCTCACACAATAACATTGACACCAATGAATACATTTGATTGGTACCAAAGGAGTCCTGAAGGGTTAAATGCAATGATGTATCTCTAAATATGAACAAAACTCATTTTATTCCCTTCAACTACCCAATTGCGCACAGAAATGAAAATATGACAATTGGCTTATTGATTGATAAATTGCCCAAAGAACAGAAGCGTAAATCTAATGTTATCGGGGTGATTATTGATGAATTTCTAACATGGAATGACCGTTTGGATTATATTCAAAGACTATATCTAAAAATGTAAGAATTATTTGTAAAACGAAACAGTTATTTACTCAAAAGACTTTGTTTTTATTGTATAATACAATTGTTATTCTTTACTTATTTTTAAAATGTTTTACCAAGTTTTGCGATGACAAAACTAAATCTTATTCATTTTTTGGGGATTTTTTTTTTTTTTTGCACCGGATCATTCTTTTTTGCAAATTCAAAACTCTTATTTCAGAAGATGAAAACATTAAGTGTTTTTTAAATCAACGCTTTGCAGGTTGCAATCTTTATGTTAAAATACTACGATAATCTACTTCCTCAAGTATTCAAAAACCCGTTTGTTATAAACAACACAGTCAATTCTTATCCGACACGAAACTCTAAGAACTTTCATTTGATAAACCCCAAAATGCTAATTGCGCATAAACCTATACAACACGAGTGCCCTGACCTAGGGAATAGTCTCCCAATAACTGTTAAGTCATGTCCTACAATAATTTGTTTCAAGGCTGCCATAAAGCATAAATCATTATCAGCATACAAGTCATAATTTGATGAGTGCTCCAAACACATGCACACGCGCGCACACACACACACACACACACTCGCACACACATTTGCACATGCAAATACATAAATACGAAGATAAATCAAACTTTCAACAAAAGACATACACTTGAATAATAAACATATTACACTTAACACATTTGATGTTATTCCTGAAAAAATGCATTCAATTCATTATGTGGCAGTTATATTTAATTTGTTTTATTAATATGATTATACAATATGCTATAAATTTAGTCGCCCATACAGGTTCCCCTTCTAAGGCCTCCATCAAGTTCAAGTACTAGCTCAAGATGGCGGTCTCCTACTTTCTTTAGATTTTAAACATGTTTGGCAAATGCGTCCATTGAAAGATAGAATTATTTAATTGATTTATATTATATGATTAAACACGTAGTTAGTTTTTTTTGTATTTTGTAGACCATGCATTATCGATAGTCAAACAGTTCAGACAGCCTTTTCCGCTTTACGTCTGACAAGGCCTTTCTTCCCATCATTTAATAATTGAATAATATTTGCCTAAGGAAATACAAAGCTATATCGATTACAAAGAAAATATACTTATCTCACAAAATTAATTGTACGTTTTTTTTTATATGATTGCCATTTCTTCTCCAAATGTCACACTTCTTATCATTTGCCCTCCATACTATTTCCATTAAATAAATTTCGAATTTGTTTGCCGGTAATGTTACATTTTCTTCTTTATGTATATCACACATATCCGGGTGTGTGCCTGCAAACGAGCGTATGGTGCGGAAGATAATGATACCGATACATAACAGATGGACAAATAGGTGGGACTCGTCGATTCGAAAGCATGGTCACTCCATTGATTCCTTGAACTTAATCATGTGTGTCGATAGTTTGTTCAATTAAGGCCCGGTCACACAGCCCTTTACGGGCGTATCGCGGCCGAATCACGGCCAAAAATTTCTGCCCGTGAAGCAGACGCTGTTGGACGCGTTGAGGTCGCGATAAAGACGCGATACAGCCGTACTTTACCCGTCGTTACACGCGGTAAGAAATTCACACGCGGTTGGCCGCGCGAAAAAGTTTTGGGCTGCCCAAAAATTTAGACCGCGGGTAATCGCGGGCGGTACACGTGGTACACACGCGGTAAAGACGCGGTACAGACGCGGAACGAACGTGCTAGGACGTGCTACGGCCGCGGTTAAGACGTGGTTACACGCGGAATTGGACGCGAAATTTTAGCGGGTAATCGCGGGTGGAGCACGGTCATAGCACGTTTGTTCCGCGTCTGTACCGCGTTGTTATCACGTGCATTAGCGTGTGTACCGCGTGTAAGCGTGGTAGGCCGCGGTACCGCCGCGCTTCACCCGCGATAAGGACGCGGAACAGTCGCCGGCGTCTGTTCCGCGGGCATACCACGGGTAAACCGCGGGTATAAGCCAATTTTGCACATTTTCCACCACGGGCAACCGCGGGCAAAAAAAAATCGCGAAATTTTACCCGCGATACAGACGCGAAAGGCTGTGTGACCGGGCCTTTAGATCCAATTGTGACGTATTTGATGTTGCATCCTGGTTGCCAGTCAACGAAGAGAGCAGAAGATGTCGTTTGATTTGATCGACGATGAGCCAAGAAGGTGAATCGGAGATAACGGCATTTTAACGTTAATTAGTGGTAAGCGTAAACGAAAAATCAATGGAGACTATTCCTTCAATTCATTGATTTTGGATCTTTAATCATTTCGAAAGATAGAAGATTTCATTATTTCAATATTTTTTATTTGGAAGCAAGCAAAAATTCATTAAATGAAAAGAGAGAATCATATGAAGAGATACAAATTACTCTAAAGATACAATGACAAATATAGTTCTACTTACGATTAAATGTGGAGTTGAAGACTACACTGCCGAAACCATACCTGGACACAGCTACGCATTCATATTCACAAGGATCTTTGGACAGAGGGTGTTGGATCACCACTTCGCTAAAAGTCAGCGTTTCATATTCTGGTATATTCTTGGAGAATGTTATGCTATGGGTGTCGTTAGACAACTGTGTGCCGTTACAGAGCCATTGGAAGATAACAGCAGGTGGATTGGCGTCTGAAGTACATGTCAACACGAACCCAGTACGCACTTTATTTGATGTAAGCCGTCGAGAGGAAACAAACACAATAGGGTCGTCTAGGTCATAGAAAACAAAATTGGAAATCAGTTTTTAGAAGAGGAGATAGAAAACAGAAGGATGGATAACGAATGGGAATGAGACTTGGGATTCAAATTAAGGTAATTGGGGTGGGACTGAAAGAAACTTGTCAATGTATAAACAAATGAACGTATAGCCTATTTCTTTGAATGTTCCTGTTGTAAGATGGGAAAATGCAAGGGGAGTGTAAAGAATGTCAAAAAAATTACAAATATGTATATATACAAAAAGATATGTAGAATTAAAAAAAAAAGCCAAAGCAGGCGAAGAGTCTTCATGATTGTTGGTGAACGCGTAATCAGACCAATATCCTACGCAGTTTTAGAAGATTCTTTATAATGATGCCTTTACCAAAAGTTGAAATGAATATTAAAACTCACATGATATGTTTAGAACCATGCTATCATTCACTGACTGCATTGACGGTGTTGTAGGTTGAACTGCCTGACAGAAAAGATGTTTCCCATGATCTAACCTCTTTGGTATGATGGTAAGGGTGCTTTCAGCATCATACCGATCATCTTCATTCATTGAAGTCTTACAAGACGAATCGTGTGTCACATTTATTGAACCGATGTACCAATGGATGAGCGGAGCAGGGTACCCATTAACAGCTCTGCAGCTTATATTGGTTTCTATACCTTCCTGTAGATCACCGGGGGTAGATATGTTAACATCATCTGGTGAGCCTTAAAACATGAATAAAATGAATAATTATGTGTAAAGCCTTGAATATGTCATTTGGTAAATTATATTGTCATTTCAACATTATCTGTTGGGCCTTTACAATGAAATGAAATGTCTGGTTTTGGGTAAGGCCTTGATGAATGAAATTGTTATTTGGAGAAAAGAATTATGTGCTCACAGACGTAATATTTAATTAAAAGGCGAGGAGAAAATCGATGTATACAGTGATAAACGTTCACGTTTTCTCTCCGTCATAGCTGACAATAACTTATCAATGATAATGACTCATTTAAACTGGATAGATAACGAGGCATACATATAAGAATTTTCTTTATGTTCGTAGCGAAAATAAGGCCTTACAGTAGATTAGATCCATACTGACAATGCATTTTCACACCGGGGATATTAAAAGGAAGATCAAATGATGATATATTGAAAACTCTAAACTCACCGTAAACGATCAATTTGGCTAATGATACATGAATAAAGT